GAGAGAGAGAGAGAGAGAGAACCTGTGGTAGTGACCGATGTTCACAAGAATACATCAGCAAGGTGTCTGTGGCTGATTAGAGGGAAAAGGAAAGGAGTGGGAGAAGGCCAAGACCATGGAGCTGAGAGCGCAGGAGGCATGAGATGGCCGGGTGTGGGAACCAAAGAGGACCTTCCTTAGCTGGTGGGTGACAAGTGTCAAGCTGCAAGGCAGGACGCATTGGGAGAAACAAAGGAGAGTTGACCTCCTCACCAGCTCGGGAGCTTGAGGCAGGCTGTGGCCTCCCTCCTCTCTGTGCCTAGAACATCGTAGGTTGTAAACAAATGAACTCTTGAGGTGGTAAATGATGTATCTGCCTTGAATCGTTAGGGAAAGTTTAGCTATGTTTCAGGTTGCATTTGGGAATCTTTCTGCTATCCTAGTACCTGACTGGTGTGAATGTATCCCCCTACATCTTGATTCCTTGATTGATTTGCTTATGTGATTTTGAACCCCAAAAAAATTTCCTCTCCAAGCCTCAGGCTTCTTCGTGTATGAACGGAGGATTGTAGTGCCTGTCTCATGATGGCTGTAAGGAACAGAGATGAGATGGCTATGAGTTGGGTCTTCCTGTCCTGCTCTGGGGTACCAATGAAGAGTACTGGTCTCTTTCTTTCATTTGCTCACTCTTCCATCCATCCATCCATCCATCCATCCATTCATTCATTCATTCATGTGCCCACCCACTCATTCATTTACTTATTTACTCATCTACTCAGTTTGGACTTGTTCACTCATCCGTTCCTTCCTTCTCTCACCATTCCGTCACACATTTGCCTTCACTCATTCATTCACACATGTATCCATCCATTCCTTCCTTTATCCACTTCCAGTCACTCATTTTTCTTTCAGTCATTCACTCCCTCCCTCAGATTGTTTTCTTGATCATACAAACTCCCGCCTCTGCTTTCTCTTCCAGAGAAAAAGATCCCCATCGCAATAGCTTACTCTCAGTATAAGGAAGACCTGACGGAGGACAAGAAGATCCTGTTGGCGGCCATGTGCCTTGTCACCAAAGGAGAGAAGCTCCTGGTGGAGAAAGACATTACTCTGGAGGACTTCATCACGATCAAGGTGACTCCTGCCCTCATCCCCCAACCTGTTCCTAGCAGGCCCTCTTCAGAGCGAAGGAGGGCACCAGAAGCTGGGGGCCCGGCGCGTCTCACTCCAGCCTCAGTTCTCAAGGCTAGGAGGAGTCCTCTGAAGGCAGGGACTTGGACATGATGATGAACATGGGGGTAGGTGGAGGCAAGGCATAAATGTCCCATTTTCTGATCCAGTGAGGACCACAGGTTCCCTGAGGGTGAGATGGGAGGAAGGGCGATGACTCGTGGGTATTGCCCCTCCAGGTGCTGGGCCCCGCTGTGGTGGGGGTGGCCGTTGTGGTGGAAGTGATGGTGGTCAACCCCCTCTTGGAGAGAGTGGAGGACTGTGTGCTGATGGTGGAGGGCAGTGGCCTGCTCCAAGGACAGCTCAGCATTGAGTAAGTACCAACCTGCCTTCCTCCCTCCCTCCCTCCCTTCCTTCCTCCCTCATGGGATGGGCCAGAGAGAAGCTGCCAGGTGGAGGGGTAGAGAGAGGCTTCTAGACCCCAGGAGCCAGATTCCCACACACATCAGCCTCCATTCGTGTGTTCATGATCTCATTCATTCAATCATTCTCTCAATCACAGAAGTGATCACAACATCTGTTTACTTATGCATCCCCTCACTCTCTCTTCCATTTGCTCACTCTTCCAGCCGTCCATCCATCCGCTGATTTCCTCATGTATCCACTTGCTCATTCATTTAGTTATTTATTCGTCTACTCAGTTTGGACTTGTCCATTCATCAATTCCGTCCTTCTCTCACCATTCCTTCACACGCTACACCTTCACTCAGGCATCCACGTGTGTATCTGTCTATTCCTTCCTTTATTCACTTTCAATTATTCATTTTTCTTTCATTCATTCACTCACTCAGATTGTTCTTGGTCATACGAACCCTACTCTAGGCCACTGTCAGTTGCTAAGAATGCCAAGATGAACCAGATATGAGTCTTCTGGAGAAGGGCTCTTCCAGGCCCATCAAATGAGGATAATATGAATTGAACAGACAGAAGAATGGACTTAGACCTTACGTTGGGATGGAGTAACCTCAGTGAGGAGGGAAATCTTTTTGCTTATTATTAAATACTTCTATTGGGGGCTCTTACAGCTCTTATCACAATCCATACATTCATCCATTGTGTCAAGCACATTTGTACATATGTTGCCATCATCATTTTCAAAGCGTTTTCTTTCTACTTGAGCCCTTGGTATCAGCTCCTCATTTTCCCCCCTCCCTTCCTCCCTCAAAAACCCTTGATAAGTTATAGATTATTATTTTCATATCTTACATCGTCCTCTGTCACCTTTCACCCACTTTTCTGTTGTTCGTCCCCCTGGGAAGGGGTTATATGTATATGATCCTTGTGATCAATTCCCCCTTTCTCCCCACACCTTCCCCTTATCCTCCTGGTATCTCTATCCTCATTGTTGGCCCTGAGGGGCTTATCTATCCTGGATTCCTTGTGTTTTGGGCTCTTATCTGTAGCAGTGTACATGTTCTGGTCTAATCTGATTAGTAAGTTAGAATTAAGGTCATGAGAGTGGGGGGGAGGAAGCAATAAAGATCTAGAGGAAAGTTGTGTGTTTCATCATTGCTATACTGCACCCTGACTGGCTCATCAATTCCCTGTGACCCCTCTGTGAGGGGATGTCCAATTGTCTACAAATGGCTTTGGGTCTCCACTCCTTGCCTCCCCCTCACCTACCCACCCCGCTCCCATTCACATTGGTATGATTTTTTTCTGGGTCTTAGATGCCTGATACCTTAACCCATTGACACCTCATGATCACACAGGCTGGTGTGCTTCTTCCATGTGTGATTTGTTGCTTCTCAGCTAGATGGATGTTTGTTTATCTTCAAGCTTTTAAGACCCCAGAGACTATATCTTTTTTTTTTAATTAAATACTTTTATTAGGAGCGACACTATATCTTTTGATAGCTGGGCACCATCAACTTTCTTCACCACATTTGCATATACACACATTTTGTCTTCTGCAATGTCGGGGAGGTGAGCATCACAGAGTGCCGGATTATTAGAACAAAGTGTTCATGTGTTGAGGGAGGACTTTAGTAGAGGCATAATGTCCATCTTCTACCTTAATTCTTAACATATAGATATAAGTACATAGATCTATTTCCCTCTCGTTATAGATAAATATATTTACATACAAACATCCCTGTATTTAGACCTCTATAAATATCCTTTGCCTCCTGGTTCTTTCCTCTATTTCCTTTTACTTTCCTCTTGTCCTACCATCATGTTTGGCCTTCAATCATGTTTAGTAATTCCTCACTGTTATATTGCCCTTGATTAAGCCCCACTAGGCATCCTACGCCCTTCTCGCCATTGATTTTAGTTCACTTGTTGTTCCCTTGTCCCTGGGTTGGTTGCCACCCTCTTCCTTTCTCCAACCTCCCCTTCTCCCATAACCCCCTGGTTCTGTTGTTTTCATCTACAAATTATCTATCCCACCTATCTTATCTAGTAGACATCCAGAGACATTAATAAGCACAAAAAACAGGTAAAGCCAAACAAACCAACAAAGGAAGACAAAATCAACAAAACAATAACAACAACAAAAACAAAATAACAACAACAAAAAGAAAGCCAATGACAAAAAAGGAAAAGCCTATAAATAGCTTAAGGTCTGTTTGTTAGCATTTGCGAGTGTTTTCCAGTTGAGTCTGATGGGATACCACCCTCTGTCTCCAAAGTCTATTTTTGGTATTCCCCAGAGATGTCATCACTTTGCTCTCCTCGCTGCTCTGTTGCATGTCCTTGGTGGTTCACCCCAGCATAATGGGGTCAGATTTGGCACAATTCTCACACTGTGTCTCCAGTGTTGTCCCCTGAAGCACTATGGTTCAGTGAGGGATGTCGTGTCTCATGGTGGGGACAGCCCTATGGTCCTCTCTGTGCATTGTCTGTTCTGAACAGGAATATTGTCTCAGGGCTTGGTGGGCCAGGATGGGTTCCCCTTACTGTCCATTGAGGAGGGAAATCTTAAGATATAGTCAGGGTGTGGGGATGAGACTAGCCTGGTGGGGCAGGAGGGGTGGGAAATGCAGGAAGGAAAGATTCATCTGGAAGCAGGGTGTCCAGGTTTGAATGTCAAACCAAGCGGTATGAACTTGAGATTGTGGGAGGCCTGGTCTGGCAGGCCAACCAGGAGAGCAGGCTAATAGTCTCCTCTTTCCTTGTCCCTTTTCTCCAGTGTGCCCAGTCTGGAGCCTCAGGAGAAGGCCTGGGTCCAGTTCAACATTACCCCCTCCAGGAGTGGCCCAAGGCAGCTGCAGGTGGACCTTGTCAGCCCCCACTTCCCAGACATCAAAGGCTTCGTGATCATTCACGTGGCCGAAGCCAAGTGAGGGGAACAGAATGAGGAGGAGATGGCATCTGCCTACCTTTGTTCCTACCACACGACAGCCAGGAGTCTTGGGGTTCAGGCCCACTTCAGCCTCGGCCTCCATTGGTGAATGTGGCAAGTTCTTTTTCCTTCTGAGCCTCAGTTTTCTCATCTGTAAAACGGGGTGCTGGGCTCAGGAATCCTTAGACTTTCTGTCAACTCTGGATGATGTAAGTACTATAGGAGCCTCTGCCCCCATCATCTCTTCATTCTTGTTGCCGGGAGGCTGGTGGAACCCACCCACTCTGGCTGCTCCACCCCATCAACTCACTCTTGCCCTGGCCAATCACCCAGACTCTGTTTCTCTCTTCGCTCCTCAAATGCCCCAACCACATCCGGACCCAAGAAGCATTTCCCAAGCCCTCAGAGAGAACCCCCAGTTGTGAGAGCCAAAGCCTTAACAGCCCCCACCACTTCCGTTCTCCAGCACAGGAAGAGTCTGGGCCAAGATCACACAGCAAGCGAGAGACAGAGTTGGGGCCATCTACTCCATGTCAGTTTTACGCAAAATGACGTTCCTGCAAATAATTCGACGTGAAGCAATTGGGAGACTTTCTCATCATGAAGACACAGGCTCAAGGTCGAGGAGACTGCTGCCGTCTGGAGAAAGCTGACGAAGACAAACAAGGGGCTGCCAGACCCAGACTCCAGTCCCCCAGAAGCTGCACCCCAAATCTGATCCCATTCTGCTCACCAGAGATCTCACCCAGCCAGCCCAGCTCTGCCTGCCGGTCCTTTATGTCTTTGGAGTTTATATGGGGCCGACTTTGTAAGACATCCTCAACAGCACAATCCTTTCATGTCAGATCCAACAAAGACCCCTGGGACGAAGGCCGAAGAAAGGCCCCCCAGGCCCTGCAGATAACTGCGCTGCACTTAGCATTCAACTCCCCAAATTTCCCAGGCAGCCAAAGGCATTATACTTAGCCATGTGACTTAAATAATCGGAACAACAACCAAGCAGGCTCATCTGCAGATCGTGTCTGGAGCAGCTCTTTTAAGAAGGGGGCCAGGCAAACACTCGGGAGTCCCTCAAAACTAAGCTCCCTGCCATCGAGTCAATCCTAACTCATCGTGAGCCTGTCGGGCAGAGCAGAGCTGCCCCTGTGGCTGTCTGTGATTGGGGATCCTTAGGGGAGCAGAAAGCCTCGTCTTCCACCTGAGTGGCAGCTGGTGGATCGGAATCACTAAGCATGAGGCTAGCAGCCTCACCAGGGCAGTGCAAATGGTACATGTGCTCGGCAGCTGACTGAAAGTCCTTACAGAAGCTCCTTGGGTGACCTGCTTCCAAAATCTCAGTCACTGAAGTCCTTTTGAAGTACAGTTCTACTCTGATCCCCACGAGGTTGCCTTAAGGAGTCAACTCAACATCCACTGGCTTGGTGAACTCACCCGGTGTTTGGTGGAGGCGCCTGTGCCCAAGACGAAGGGACTAATATCCACCAGCGAGGCATCTCTCTGGGGGCTCACACAACATGGGGCTCACTCAACAGGACTGAGCTCCCAGAGGTGGACTTGGAAAACCCAGGCTCATGTCACAAGTCATGACCTTAGCCTGCTTTGGATGGCCCTCTCTAAGAGGGAGGGGCAGCTGGAGGGCCTGAGCAGGCAGTCATTTCCTCAGAGTGGTGCAGAAGAAAGGGACGTTGGAGAGAACCCTGGTCTCCTGGTGTGAATTGTGGGGCACCGAATGGCTGAGGGCCACCTGCTGGGTAGCTGTGCTTCCGTACAGCTCTCTTGTATGGGATCCTCAAAGTTGAGCTTAGGTATGACTTTAATGGAACAAGTGACCCCAGAAATTATTCTAGCCCATGTTGAAAGCAGAGAGACCCTCAGCAGCCAATGGTTAGGGATGAGAGAGGTAGGGGCATGGAGAGACTCAAAGACCAAGGGGTCATTTTGGAAACTGCCAAGACCAATGTGCAAGTGGGGATTGCCTTTCAGTTGGTAATGGGACAGCCTGGTGATGTCCTAAAAGGGAAAGGGCAGACCAGGTGAATCCAGGACCAAAACAAGTCATCATTAGAGTTGGCTGGTAGAGGAAACCCGACAGGACTTGACTTGAAGCTCAGACATCTTACTGCTTCCATTCGGGCTCCCCGTGCCTCTTCAACTCCACCTGAACCTTAACAGGGTTTCTTGATACCGTCAAGTCAGGGATCTGAGCTATGAGGCCCCAAAGGGGCCTCGATGCCTTTTGAATAGGAATAGGCAAACTTTTTTCAGTAAAGGGTCAGATTGTAAATATTTCAGGCTTGGTGGGCCACCTAGTTGTCTGTTGCACCTACTGGGCTCTGCTCATGTGGCATGAAAACAACTAGGAGATAAAAAGAAACTAGCCTGGCTACATGGTGATGAGGAGCCCTGGTGAGGCCGTGGTAAAGCACTCTGTGGCTAATCAAGAGGTCAGTGGTTAGAACCCACCAGCTGGCTACTCCGTGGGAGAAAAGACCAGGCAATCTGCTTCCATTAAGTTTACAACCTAGGCATCCCAGTGGGGCAGTTCTACTCTGTCCTACAGGGTCACCATGAGTTGGAATTGACTCAACAGGACATAGCAACAACGGATAGCAATAAGCTTTCTTTACTAAACCAGGCAGCAAAGAAGACTTGGCCCACAGGGGGTGGTTTGCTGGTGCTGCTGTAAAACGAAGTGTTGACTCACCTGTTTGTTCCAGGACTGAGCTCTGACACCAGAGGGCTCCCTGTCCCAGCTGAGGATCAAGCCCAAATCTAGGCAAAGGCCGGGTGCTGAGCAGGCTCCACACCAAAACTGAAATAAGGTTGAATTTCAACCCTGGCCCCAGGCAGTGCCAAGACTTGGAGCCATAACTGATGAGGCTGGGTCATGACCCTGAAGGTAGACTTCGCTGTAAATATCAACCTCATCCCCCTACCACAACTAACTCCTGATTTAACCTTGGCCCTAGACCAAGATCTGACCCTGAACTGAGCAGTGATCCAGCCCACATAACCTGAGGTCAGCCCAACCCAAGCCGAGCCTTTTCTCCAGCCTACTTCCAAACTTAAACTGTGCTCTTATCCCTGATGAAACCCTGACCCCAGACTGAGCTCTACTCCTGACCTCTAACAGCCCTAATCCCAGGCTGAGCGCCGACCCCACTCTGAATACTGAGCTGGTCTCAAACTGAGCCCTGACCTCAATCAGACCCCAGCCATGTCAGGCTTTAGGTCTGGACCCTAGGCCTCTCTTCCCTATCGGAGTTTCTCAAGTTGGGCCCCCGTACACCCCTCTGATAGTCTAGATGTCATGGGGTACACTGCCCATCTTCCTGGACAGAGGGTCTCAGTTCACCTTGCTTTCCCTTTGAGTCCTCCATGCTGTGACCATTCACGTGCATGACCCAGTCCTCAAGGAGTAAGTACTTCTCCCCACCACCAGGGTGTGCTTTCCCTCGTAGACAATTGTCAGAAGCAAAAGGAACCCTGCGACGTTCTCGCCAGCAAAACAGGAGCCAGTCTATGATTGGCATCGAAGAGAACACTCCTTTCTAAGGAGTCTCTTCATCTCTGTCAAGGTGGGCATCTGCCCAGGTGGGTCCAGACCCCCCAGTCCCCCATCTTTCTCAGTTGCAGCTCCTCTCCCAGGCTGAGTTGTCCAGGAAGCTGGTTCTGAGCTGGAGTGTAGGACTGACAAACTCACTACCCTCCTGGGAAGGGGATTACCATCTAGCTTGTGGAGAGGGAGAGACATGATCACAAACTTTCCTGAATACCTAATGTGGTAGTCACCTAATCTGTTGTCAATTTAAGGATTAATAGTGTAAGGGTGGAGTCTAGGCTGTCAATCTGGAGATAGCCAATGAGATTTCTGTGTGGGCATAACTTTCCCTTGGAGAATTTTGGGAAATCTGGTACTTCCTCCATGGAGGTGGAAGACACCTCTCTGCTACTCCCTGGGAGACATTGTAGAAGACAAGCCATATGGAAGCTGGATAAACCACAGAGGACCCCTGCCAGCGCTGAGATGCTTACGCCACTGGACCCAAAGACTTTCTACCCATTGGCCAGTGATCTTCTACAGCGTTATTGCATATGTTGCATCATTCTGAAGAGGACTTTATAGATTGATGTCGGACATATGGGCTAATATAGGACTTAAGGCCTTGGACTGTACTGGGCTGGGATGTTTTCTCAATGTTCAATTCCTATGTATATAAATCTCTTTCTTATACACATGGATTTGTTTCTCTAGTCTACCCAGACTAACACACCTAAAATGAGGAATCGATTTCCACCAGTAAACAAATTCATGAATAAATAAGCCAATCAAATAGAGTGAGAAGTACCAAGAAATAAAACTGACAGGCACCTCTTGCCCCAACTGGTGGAGTAGCACTCCCTTAAACGACAGCATCGCCGACAGCCTCTCTGAAGAAGTGACATTAGCGCTGAAATGTGAATGACAATAAAAATGATAAAAACAAAATGTGTGTGCTTGTTGTTTTCAGGTGCTTTAATAAGACGTTAAGTGGAACAGATTGCTACAAATATAAACTCCGTGAAAACCATCAAAATGTTCCCAAATTGAATGTGGTAAGGACTGTACAACTCTTAATGTGATTGACTGATCGAATTGTACGGCATGTGATGTATGTGCCAATAAAACGATCCTTTTTAAATATATCCACATGTGAAGCTGTTGCTTCTCGGCCTCTCCCCTCTGGATCCCAGCGCTCCTGAAGGCGGTGTTCCCATCTTGACGCCCTTCCCTGAAGAACTCTGCGCTTCACTTTGCACCACGTTTTCACACCTCGAGGGACCCACATCGTGGCCCTTTTCAATGTCCTTTTAGTTTAGGGACAAGCTGGGGGCTGTACACTAGATGGGTGAGGGCTCCCAATAAATTCTTCTGGACAGCCCTTGCAACCTTCCAAGAACGAGCAGGTGCCCCGGGACGGGAATAAATTCCTCCTTGTAGCTTCCCTCACCCTTCTCACC